TTGTTACCACTGTCAAATGTGATGCGATTGAAGTCTATCGCGTGGATTTCAGACATTCTGGCTGCCGTAGCTAATGCCAGAAGAAATAGGGTTTTCTGCGTCAGGTGTTCAAAGTTGGCCTGTTGGAGCGGTTCGCATCACTGGTTAGGTGTTGTAGCACTATATTTAGGTCCCATGCTGGGGCTCTAAATCTTTTCTGTTGGTCCTCAAGTCTGAAGGATCTGAGTAGGGCTATCAGCTTGGGAACTTTAGTTACTAAAGTTTTATCCTGTTAGCCATTGTCAGTACAGAACTGATAGCGGCCAAATAAATGCCCAGTGTCGAACCTTTAAGATTCCTTGTACTTCGTAAGTGACATAGGTAATCTGCTACTTGTGGTATAGTAGCTTTGGCTGCAGAAAAACCCTTGGATGTTGCAAACTGGTCAAAACTTTTCCATTTATCATCATAGAGATTCCTCGTTGATCTACGAAGTGCTAAGGAGACTGCCTTAGCTGCTCTTATGGAATATCCTCTTTTAACGAGACTGCTCTTGATATGCTCCATACCTGAAGTTCGTAAAGATCTGGTCTTGGATGGACCTGATTGGAGTGAGGATGTAGCAGTAGATTTGGCCAGTTTGGAAGTTTTAACATTGGATTCCCTGCTAGTTCGACGAGATCTGGAAACCACGTTCTCGCCGGCCAGTAAGGCGCTACCAAAAGCAGTTGTAGGCTGCTCGTGTCTAGCATCTTTTGTAATATCTGTGGTATCACGGCTGGTGGAGGAAACGCGTACGCATTTAGTCCCTCCCATGTTATTGACAGAGCATCGACTGACCAAGCTAGTGGGTCTGGCACTGGTGATACAAACGTTGTTATCTGATTGTTGAATCTGGTTGCAAATAGGTCTATCAGTGGGCAACCTTTCTCTTTTACAGCCAGTTGGAATGCTTCTGGGTGTAGCTTCCATTCTGTCGGTGATGATTTGGCTGGCCTGGATAAGGCGTCTGCTAAGACATTTGCCACTCCTGGTATATGTCTTGCCTTTATTGTTAAGTTCAGATTGTCTACTAGCTCGTAAAGTTGAAATGTCAACTTCAGGAGGGTCTCCGATTTTGTCGTGCCTTGAAGGTTTATATTGTATGCCACAGTTGAATTGTCTGTTCTGATCATCAGACGTTGGTTTCTTAACTGTGGGGCCCAGTGAAATATTGCACGGATTACTGCCTCGTATTCCAGATAATTGATGTGGTAGAGCTTTTCTGCTTCTAACCATAGGTCTGCTGTTACTTCTCCGTTGAAGTGAGCTCCCCAACCTTGAAGTGAGGTGTCCACGAATTAGTGGTTGTTGTAATCCGGCTCGTTTAAACAAGTTCCTGCGCAAACGTTCGATTTCACTGTCCACCATAAGAGGTGTTTCCTCAAAGTTTGTGGTAGTTGCAGTTTTAAATCCTGATACTCTAGGTATGGATTTAGAAATCTCTGAATAGGGTGTAAGTGTAGTCTGCCTCGGACCGTCCATGCTTGGGCTGACGTGAGTAAGCCTAATATCACTTGCCATTCGTTGACTGAGATTTTCTTGTAAATTGCTGTTGGCAAACAAGTCTTGATTTTTATCCACCAATCTTCTGGTACCATTATTAGGTTCTGATTGGTTAGAAATCTGATCCCCAGAAATTTGAGGTCCTGAGATGGTTGTAGATCGGACTTCTGAAAATTTATTAACCAACCCAGTTGTGTTAATAATTTCAGGGTGAAATTCAGTTGTAGTCTGAGTACCTCTGTTGATTGATGGGCTTGTATCCCGTCGTCTAGGTAAAAAGCACAACGAATTCCCTTGTTGCGAAGAAATGACACAATTGGTTTGGTCACTCGTGTAAATAGCCACGGGGCCGTGCAAATTCCAAAGGACAGGACCGCCCACTGGTAATGTTGTCCTTTGAAGAGGAAACGTAAATATTTCCTGAAAGTCCGTTTTATGGGAATGTGTAGGTAAGCATCCTGTAGATCGATGCTTGCGAGAAAGTCGTGCTGTCTTATCATCTGCTTTAGTTGTGGTAAATGGATCATTCTGAACTTCTCCGGTTCTGGGAGGTATTTCTTGTTGAATTTCCTCATGTTGTAAATCAAACGAAACTTTTCGTTTGAATTCTTCTTGGGAACCAGAAAGATCGGTGAGTAGAAACCTGGCGTTAGTAATTCTGGTTGAATTTTTTCGACTGCGCCCTTGTTGAGAAGTGAATTGATTGCTTCGGTCAACTTCGGCAAAAGTTCTTTCGGATTTGATTTCCGGTGGCTTGCGAGATAACGGGGGTTTCTTGACTAAAGTCGGAGCGTAGCCTTTTCTTAGAATGTTGGAACAAATTCGTCTCCTAGAATGTCCCAATTCATCCAAAATCTTGCCAATCTTCCGCCTACTGGGGAATGCTGTACATAAACGGCTGGGGGGGGAAGTTCCCAGTCGTTCATCAGCCCATCTTCACCGGTAATTGCGGGATCCCCTCGATCCGCGGTCGCGACCGGCATCACGTGACGTGTCATGTGACTTGCGAAAGGCAGATGATTTCCCGGCTCTGTAGTTGTACGAGCGTTTCTCTTTAGCTTTTTGAATGCCCGTGAAACGGCTTTTGAAATGGGTTTTCTGCATGGATTGACGATACATAGAATTCATAGTCTGAACTGACTTGATCAGCATATGATCTTTGGAGTCTTGAAGCACTTCTTTGTTGATTTTCCGTATGTTACCATTAAAAATGGTTGGGGCCTCCCAGGGTTGTCTTAATAATTCTTTGGTATAGGTATCTGACCAATTAGAATTATTTATAAGACCTTGTCGTCGTAGTAGTGTTAAACCTGCCGACACTGAGCTCATATGATCAGAAATAATTTCTTGATTTTTCTTTTGATTGACGAGCGCTGAAAGTAACATTCTTTCACGGTCGTTCTGAGGCTCTTTTAATTCATAGATCATAGCTTCATTCATAGCGCGTGACATCGCTAGTCCAAAGAATGCATGTCTTGTAGTCGTATCAAGTTGTGCAATTTTCTTATCCTCAATGCGATAGGCTTTACTTTTGGAGTCTGACATAAGTGAGTAATCCTCATCAATCTCCGGTGAGCGAAGAAATTGCGACATGGCGTGTATGGGGAATTTCTTAAAATTAAAGCTCGGTGTTGGAAGTCCTTGTGATTTCGTGGCTTTCGCAAAAGAAACATTAAGATTCTCTGCAATGTTGGAGATTGGTTTTATCGGTGGGATGGTTAGTGTGTCTATATCGTCCCCTTTGATACAGTATGTATCAGTGGGAGAAGAATTTCTTGACGGTGATGATATCGGTAGTCTATCTGTAATCCACGCCAATAATTCATGATCCTCATAAATTGAAGGGTAATTTTCCCCCGATGTGTCGTCATCTTGAGGGGGCTAGAACACATCCTCCTCTCGCAGAAGATAGGAGGCGTTAGGATTCGGAGCCGTAAATGAAGGCTGCGACATCTGCGAGCTATTGTGTGAAGAGGTAGTCGACTGCGTGCCAGGTTGTTTACACATTTGTTGTTGCATAGCCATTACAACTTGCTGAGTGATATTTGCTATCATATCTGTGTTAATAGCAGGCGTTGGCAAAGTACCTTGTGTAAAAAAGGTAGGCTGCGTGAAGGTAGTTGGCAGTGTAAACGTTGAAGGCTGCGCGAAGGCGGGAGCCTGCGCGAACGCTGGCGTCTGTGTATACTCTTGTTGATTAATAGCCTGCGCGAAGGTAGGGGATTGCATAATTGTTGTGTTGGGCTGCGCGAAGGCCGGTATCTGCGTGAAGGTCTGAGGCTGATTGAGGTTTATATCGGCTGTATTTGTAGCCTGATTGGATGACACTGCGGGCTGCGCGAGCCTCTGGGGTTGTGCAGACGTAATTGTCTGCGCGCAGGCTTTCTTCTGGCTAGAAGAAACAGCTGATTTTCTTGAAATCCCCTTCGTGACTACGGACGAAGTCTGTGGTTTTGTTGAGGTAATAACCTCTGCAAAAACATGCTCTCTCCTAGGGGAAGACGGCTTCAAAGTAGATGATGCAGCACTCTTTTTCTTAGCTAATTGTTGCAGATTGATCGCCTGACTGAAACTTTCAGTAGGTTTATTCCTAGACCCTCCAGACTTCTTACTGGTAGACGAGGAAGTAAGATGGGGGGGCACTGCATCATCTTCAGCGGGAGTTACTTGAATAATATCAAATTCGAATTCCTCTGACGAAGGGCAGGGCGTAGATTCTCGCCTCTTCTTACTTCTTGCCGTCTCCCTGGATGACAACGAGCGTGATGACTCACGTCGTTTTCGATCCATCTTTTTCCTCTGCACTGCACAAAGATAATTACTAAATTCTTCCTTCCCCAAGGGGGCGCAGAATTTGCATCTATTCTCTGCAGTGCAGTTCTGTACTGTGCAGCTGGTACAGGTTGGATGAGGGTCCGAATCTGAAACACGTAATTTACATCGGTTACATGTTTTCATAACTCAAACGGGGCTGTCTTTAAGTCCAAATAACGAAAAATTCTAATGCCAAATATATAAAATAATCGTTAGATATGATGTATATAATACCACAGAAGATAATCCAAGCAAAAAATTTGTTAAAAGGGTGAATTTTTAAGGAAAGCTTGGATTACGATGCACAGAAAAAATTTCCAGCTGCCAAGATGGCGCGAAAAAGAGAGAGTGATGAGTTACTGGGCTTTGTCACATGGTTCCGGTGCGCATGCGCCGAGTGAGGGTGCGTTTGGGTGAGCTGTTTTCTCTGTTCTTTAGGGAACAGCACAGGACGTTTCCACTACCTATTCGGAAGAGAGAGAGATAAGCAATAAGTATGAGTCAGGATAAGATAAAATCATTGTTTTTAATCTGAAAAACCCATTATAGATGGTCCGCAAAGCCTTGTGATGCAATTTCATTGCGACATTATCTTCTAGGATAGATCGCTTGCCAAAGAGAATCAATAACATAAAATGAAGGTAATCAAAGTGTGTACGAACATTATCAAAGTTTGCAGACATCAGATCCTTGCATGTATGACTCTCGAAGAATGTCGGCTTCTGCTGAGCTGGACGACCTCCAAGACCAAATATCATCAGGGGCGACATCTTCTGCTGCAGCTGCTGAAGTGCGGAGATGCTGCCTTGGGGTTTGGACTTTGAAGACAGCTCCTGGTGATAGCAAGTGATATTATCTCCAACACTACTTCAAAATGGAACTGATTCTTGCTACAACATTTCCATTGGTAACCTTATGAAATATTTTCAAAGAAGGCAAGGTTATTGCTACTAGTACTGAAATATTTGCATGGTACAATTGAAAGAGTAATATGTTTTCTTCGAACTACTTTGGAAAAACTAAATACCAAAGTCAGAAGTTGAGTGAGCATGCTTTAAGCAATATTCCAGCAATATCACGACAGGGACACCAGAATGGGCTTCTCAGATTGTACCCTTGCGGGGAATCGAACCCAGGACTTCAGATGGACAAACTGAAGCTATAACTAGTAAGCAACCCCCCCCCCCCCCCCCGGCCATTCAAACATGGAAATTTTACACATAATCATCAGTTAGTAATAATTGTGGTTTTTCCATTTCAAGATTTAGTTCTTCCAATTGTATTTTTAGAGTAGAAATACAAAAGCCTGGTACACATCCCTCGTGTTTACCTTTACTGTCTTGTCATGGAGGTTCTGCTGATCCGTGATTTCTTCCATCTCCATTCTCTGTCTCTGGAATTACAAAACCATAAAGATACGATAATTGTCAACTGGAAGTCAATTTCAAAGAAGTTATACTTTAACACTGACAACATTAATACAGATGACTTTCATTTTGTCATGATTCAAGGGATTAAACCCCAAAAGTACAAGATTATGACTGGGAACAAAAAACACATTTTCATTGATTTTCAGTGAGAAGTACCTCTCCCTCCACATTGCTGCATCTGAGAAGTTCATTGATGATCAGCAGCGAGCCGTGCGTCCAGTCCTCCCGGGTCATCTTCTTCTCCCGCATCTGGGTCTCGTCAAATGGCTTCTGGGTCTCGTCAAAGCATTGCTGAAACAGAAAAGTACAATGTTGTCTTACATTCTCTACCCTACGTAGCCCAACATCTCCAATTATCTGATTATAAAAAAAACAAAACCTGTATTCTATATGAACAAGGGAAAGGTCGTTGTAATATTGTCTCACCCTGTACCACTGTGACCTCTGAGAATCCTTGGTCTCCCTCTGAGAGGTCACGGTCAAGGCTGCTCTCAGTGCTGCCACAGCACCCTCTCGTATTGATGGCTACAAAATTAGACATTGTGACATTAATAGTAATAAAATCAGAATCAGAAAAATCTTCATCCATGATGTGAAAGATACTAAAACGATAAGCATATTTTTCCTACCATCATAAGAACATAAAATGTATGGATTTGTTTTTAAAGAAAGTTATAAATTGTATATTTTCATTAAATTGCATATTTATATACTTATCCTATCTCACACTATGCATTTCTTCCTTCTTCTTTCGATCCTTTAGTGAAAACATGCTTGAACAAAGTTTCCCTGCTTGCCAGAATGAGCGACCTGAGAGGGAGTTAATGAGGAGAGTCGTGGCGTCCCCAAAAGGCAATATCAGTTGACCTGTACGTAGTTGGAAGGCAGAAGACGAAAGGTTAGTCTGGTACCGATGATCCCAGGAGGTAGGCAGATGGAGGGTTCCCTGTACTGAGGGATTGTCGATCTGAACAAGTGTCAACAGTAGAGAAGCTGCGATTAGTAGAAGAGGGTCGATGTCCATGAGCGTATCAATGTTGATCCGTAGGTCAATCCCGTGGAGGCGTAAAACGAAATCTGTAGTGGGGGTACAGCAGATAATGATGTTGATCAGCATAATGGCCAGATAAGGGTAGATGTGCATGTGATGATATTAATCCCTGGGAGGAGGGTATCCATCCCAGCTGTCATGATGCTCTCCGTAATTGTTGTGTCAATGGTGATCCACGGATAACTGCAGACACTTACGTCGCTGTGAGTCTAAATCGAAGGAACGTGAACTATCCTGGCGTCAATGGTAATCTGAATGGTTAGTAGAAGGAGAGGGATTCCGTCCCAATGTTTGATCTGCTGAATCGGTGCAGTAATCATCCTCAGAAGGGTGGAAATCCTGTCAAGATGGAGCGTTCTGTGACTAATCAATCGTCTTGTCGTTAGGTCATTCTGTGGAACGTTGATCCTGAGAATGTCGATCTCTAAGACATCCATCCCTTGAGTGTTCATCCCGTTAATGTTGATCCGTAGACCTGGAATGTCTATCCCACAAATGGTAGATCCCTAGAAAGGCAATTCCCCAAATATTGTCCCTCAAACAGCATTTTTTCGATAAACGACGACGATCCTTATTCGAGGTGCGTGATCAATCCTGGATTTTTCTTCAAGTTGGAGTAGAAGGCAAACATGCACGTTCTACCCAAGGTGAAGTGGAAACCGCCGATGTTATCTTGGGAGTGACTGTGTCTTGTGATGGGGCAGTCTTTCGTTGAGAACTTGAACCTCACGTGGAGGAGCAGGGGGAACACTGGGAGCTTCCTCAGAGTTGGGAGCATTGAAAACATCTATGGTCCAGTTTGGAAAGGCTGTGACAGTCACAACAAAGATCATGTGGATCGAAAATATTGTACATGTTGAAACAATTGCAAGGAAGCTCTCATCATTACAGTGCGTGACCTATTTGTTTTGGTGGTGACCATGGTGATGCTGGGATGTGTTTGGAAGAAATGTTTTTAGAGGCTGGAAACTTTGTCCAAGCATGTTTCCACATAAGGATCGAAAGAAGAAGGAAGAAATGCATAGTGTGTGAAAGGATAAGTTTAATAATTTATCATGATGAACATCATCTGATCACTCAGTGAATGGGTACCGTATATCGCTGTGTATAAGGCGAGTTTTTCATACCTAAAATGAGGGGGCTAAGAAGGGGGGTCGCCTTATACACGGAGTCAAAGATCTCACATTTTTTTCCACTGGCGATGTCAACCGGCGTCCGATAGCCAGCCCAGCATTTGACAATAAAACTTCGCATTTCGTCCTAAATAACTGTTCCAATAACTATTTCCATACATAAACATGATTTGTATCTCTTTTCCTTGAATAAAGTTTAATAATTTCTGCAAATAAAGTTGAAATGACCCTCGCCTCGATGCAGATTGTCAAACCACCTCACACGGTAAAACAATCAACATCCGTGAGCAGAGAGCCGGAAGTACCGGTAAGCATTTGCATATTGCACATGTGACCTAACATGTGATAACCGGTGAAGCTGAAATCAATTCCCGCTGTTTTTACAGTTGTATTAACAAGTGTTGGAGATGGTGTGTACAAGTGATTGTGGAATATACACGCTGAATGTGAAGCAAACATAAGCCTAGTTAGTTACAACATAGTTAATTGGCGATTAAATTACTCACCATTGTCTCTTATATGTTATTACTTCATAAATGAATTTTATTTTACGGGCACCAATTTGGTGTCGTACCGTGTAAACACAAAATGGCGACGTGTGCTGGAGTTACACACGCGACCTATCATTGTAGAAAAAAAACAACGCAAGATAAACATATTTTTATTGCATATATAAGGTTTGTGTGCGCACTTGTGATGTGTGCGAAATACGCATCAGTCGGAAAGCGCACGTTAAATCTCCAAAGTAACTAACTAACTAACTTGTGATGTCCGTGTGCGAAATACGCTACAGTCGGAAAGCGCACGTTAAATCTTCTATATCAGTCAGACTTGTGATGTGTTTCATTCCCGGTCGCCTTATACACGGAGTATAGGATTTGGGGTTGTTTTTTAAGGCGTGTACAGGGGGGTCGTCTTATACGTGGGGTCGCCTTATACACAGCGATATACGGTACCTGGTTGGATGAAATGGTAATGCAAATGAAAAAATTATATAGCACCTAACATGCAGTTTTATACTCCCAAGGAAGCTGAAAAGGTCATTTGAGTGCACACTAATCTACTGACCATGTTGACTGGGGTTAATGTCACGACACTCGACATTAGTCCAATCAATAGTCAGTGGATTCGCAGCTTCCTGGATATTATAAAACACAAACTGCATTTTAGGAAGAGGCCATAAAATGCCTGAGTCTCGTGATGTGACTTGAACCATGGACTATTCTCATCTGTGGTCGGACACCTTACATGACCAAGCCGACTAAATATATGTCAACAAGACGAGACAGTTGTGGGTGCATAGAATCCCTGGCTTACCTTCACATCTCTGATAGCATTGAAAACTGAGTCAAAAAACTGTTGAACTTGTTGGAAGAAAAATGTGGGTGTGTTATCAGCAAGCTCTTTCAGCACAAGGACCTGAAAAATAAGTTGGAAAAACTGTTTTAAGCAGGCTAAGTAATTCAACACAACAAAATAATACTTTATGATTCAGGAATTCAGAACCAGTAATTTGAGATGTAATAAACTACTCTAATAAAATGCAGATATCTGATTGGCCAGTCACTGTCTTGTAAAACCCCATACAAGATGGTTAGCCAGCCTTCAGAGACATCTCGACGCTAGGGCAGAGATGGGTAAGTTGGTGGGTACTGGGTAGGACCCGGAAACTTGGTTAGTCATGTGATATATTATTTAATGACAATAACAATAAAACTCCATGCTCACACAACAAGTCTACAATGTTCACATGGAAACTGGACTTTTATAGTCAGTTAACTCCCTTGCCTCGGGAAGATGTATGGGTGTATGTGATTTTACAAACTGGACATTCCCGTTCACCCCTCGACACTTAATCACCTGGTGTACAAGCCCATTCAGCGTGTAACTTCCTGTACATCCTGCTAGTGGCACATGTAACTCACCGTGCCAATATGAGAACAATATCAAGGCAAGGGACACAAAAAGTGGTCCCAAACTGTGTCGGTATGGGGATTCAAACCCAAGTCTTTGGCATGAAGTGTGAATGCTGTAACTACTAGGCTTTCTCAATGTGCTATAATATTAAATCCAAATAATAGTTCATTTTATCACGATTGTTATTCATTGTCCCCAATTTTACATCCATGCTATATATATATGAAGGGATTTATGACATCTGAACATACTGTACAATCTCCACCTACCGCAGCTTGCCTCCTCCCTTCAATCCTGTCTCCTGTCAGCCATTCTAGTGCTCGCTTCACCTCAAACTCAACGTACTCTGCAGCGTATGTGCCAGATGCAAGTGCCAGAATACCAACAGCCTTGGCTGCCATTTCCATCACGACAACATCATTTGATGGCAGCAAATTGCGCAGATAGTTTGCAAATCTACTCATTCTTGTTGATGTATTACCAACATCCACGCCAATCAGGCTCACTGAAAAAAACAAAAAAACAAGGATAATATATAGCCTCCAGATGAAGTATTCCCAAACTATCATGTTGTTTACATCATATTCCTATCATGTTGATCAGATCTCACAGAGCTTGTTTGCCTACATTATTTTTTCCCTTTCAACATGGTGAGTGACTGAATTGGGTCTAATGCCACTTTCAACAGTATTCCAGATATATCACACAAACCAAGATTCAAAAACACAATCAAATCTTTCTCGTGTGCCTAAGGATGCAACTCTACACAGCAGTCTTAGTCCCTGTGTCTCCTTTTAACATGTACAATCAAGAAAAATTCAAAAAGTATTTATTACCATATTATCACCCTGTTCACTGTTACTGTTACCATTAGGCATCACAAACATGTTTAGTTGGCTCCATTAATCAAACATGCATAAGATTAATATTACAAAATTATGACTTTCCATTATCACTCTTTAAGTGTATCATTGACGCTCAGCATTCCGAGCACTATTGTCAGTACGAGTTTCTTTAGCCTTATTTACATACAAATTGCTACCTTGAATTACCCTAAATGGGTATAAATAATGAAACCAAAGATTGTGTGATCGCTCTGAAATTGCATTGATCACGAACCTATAGCTAAGATTCCACCCTTCCTCTCATTCAGATCTGTGCTAGACACCATCTCGAAGATATGATGGTTGAACTCATCCATGAAGGTTGTGTGCTCCTCTACCGGCATCTCACGCAGCTCGGTGCTGACAAAATGGTGGAGGTCATTGGCAGTCTTGATGCGGACCTCTTCATTTCGATTCCTCAATCCAGATATGAACTGGTTCATGACAAGTCCAGTTGACATGGTTGAAGGTTCAGGCTATCCTAGAATTGCATTAGACAAATGAATCTTACACCATGATCATGATGATACACATGACCACAACAGAGTTCCAAGTAATAGCCAATCCCACCATCCGTGATGGGCTATTTTCACGAAGGAAGGCTGAAATACAAATACTACTCATACTGTGGACGGTCATATTTTTTCTGTCAATTAGTTATACATAATCTCCATAATGGCTATTGAGTACAAAAACTAAACAATCTTAATTCAAGTTGGAAATAACATACAACAGAAGGACTGGTAAGATTTTCTAGAAGCTATGTGGTCTCGGGAAATTTATTTTAAGTCAAGTTACTTATTTGTTTAGTAGATGTACATCTATGTTTGACTGAAAACTAAATAGCATGAAAGGAATCTTATCTTATATAATAAGACAAACTGTAACTTTTAAATATTGTAAGAACATGACCTATTGATGAATTGAACAAAAGTACAACAATTTATTTTTTGGTATACTATTAATGTGTGCAATATATAGTTAGGTCATGCTTATTGACCATTGATGTCATTAATATAACATCAAAATGAACAGACTTTAAAAATTTAATAGTGCAGCTTTTTTGCTGGCTTGTTTTCAGGGAGACAATTGGGCAACATATACATAGCAATTTCTTTCAGTCACTAGCATGAAAAGTTTTAGACAAGCTAAAATATTTAGTGTTCTTTTTCGCATTAGAATCAAAATGGAAGTTTAACCCCAGGAGCTTGACACTCTTTGGATTCTGGTATGGCAACTATCAGTTACTGCATGGTCTTGTTGGACACTCCCTTGCCCAAAGTTGTTTGTGTAGAGACTTCTCACAAGAGTCATGGTCGTAAATATTTTACATGCACTTGGTGCATGTAGACATAAATATTAGATTACATTTTTCAATAAATGGTTGCACTGGTGCATGTTTTATATATAGCTAAATTGTGCCATGATATGAAGGTAATAACAAAACCATAAATCACAAATGGTATGCTGATAATTTGTAGTTAGCAAGTTTACATCACACTATTATTTACAGGTTGTTGCTTGTGATTCTAAACTTCTAACAATGGGTTAGAATGGGTTCCTGGCATCCTATGCAACTAATGGATCTGGTGGTCAGGCTCGATGACTCCAATGCATGTCATTGTACCCAAAAATCATGTCCCTAGACTAGGCTGGTCCTGACTATTCATTACCATGTTTAGCCTACAGGTCAGCGTCGTGTCATTATGGTGTTAAGCAATTAATCACTACATTAGGAATGTTGGAAAGTTATGCTCTGCTGATAATGTCTATGAGTCAAATTTGGTTTGATCACAATTAGCCCAAATAATCATATGCCCCGCCCATGTTCATGACAGGAACACTCAACTCAAAATCATTGGGAAACTGTTATTTCTGTTGTTTATGGAGGAGCCTTTTACATTATATATGACATGTATGGTGCATATACCTGTTGTTTTAACTCCAGAACTTTAGAAATAATTCATTGTTTGATGAATCATAAGGTTACGAATTCTTGTCACCCGAACAGACGAGGCAAAGTTCTTGCTCTCATCGCCATGTTGTTTTAACTGACTCCTGTCTATGTATATACTAAACGCGCATAACTAGCAGCGCGTGCCAACACTGTGACCAGTTTTCGGATAAACGGGTTTCATTCTTGGTTCGCTCAGCAAGCTTAGCGGTTTACTTGTTTAAGTAGACAGGAGCCCAGTTAAGTTATTGACTGGCATTACCGGAAATAATCACAAACGGGAGATTTCCGTCGAAATAGTGGTTTAGCTGTGTATTCGCGTATGAATAGATGGCGACTATACTTACAAATTGCATCCCATCATTTATAAGTTCATATTGGCACTTATTAATAACATTTACGCACTTCCGGTGAATACGCAACATGGCCGGTTGTTGCAGATGAGTCGTGTGTGTTGTTTGATGATAGCACACATATTTACGTTTATAGCGGGACTGATATATAATTCCCTGTGGCCATATCAGGCAAAATGACAAAGAAGTTCGTTAATGGCGTTCAGAAGTCTGAAGTAAAGAATGGACGGGTAAATATTCCACACAGTTTCCAAAGCCAGCTGTCTCAATACTTCGCTGCCCTTCGCCCGTGGTCATTTACCGCCTCCTTCACTCCAGTAGCACTGGGTTCTACACTGGCATTCAAGACATCGGGCACTTACGATCTGAGTATATTTCTTGTAATATGTCTTACAGCGCTCTCTGTTCACGCAGCTGGTAATCTCGTAAATACCTACTTTGATTACACAAGAGGTATTGACAGTAAGAAAAGTGATGATCGAACATTGGTGGACCGTTTGCTGTCTCCCGCGGACGTCGCCTTCCTGGGAGGAGTATTTTATGTGATGGGCTGTGTGGGATTTTTGTTGCTCGCCTTCCTTTCACCAGCCAAGATGGAACACATAGCGTTGATCTATTTTGGAGGCTTGTCGAGTAGTTTTCTGTACACAGGAGGAATGGGACTAAAATATATCGCCATGGGTGATTTGGTGATTTTCTTTACCTTTGGACCTTTGACAGTGATGTTTGCATTTTTATGCCAGGCGGGACAGTTATCCCTCAGTCCATTTTTATATGCGATCCCACTAGCTTTGAACACTGTAGGAATTTTACATAGCAACAACACAAGGGATATGGAATCTGACAAGTCTGCAGGTATAATGACAATTGCAATTTTGCTTGGACGCACCGGATCCTATCTTTTATTTGCAGCTTTATTATTTGTGCCTTATATTGTCTTCATAATGATGAGCTTACATTGTACAAAATGGATGCTACTACCAGTACTTTCAGTGTTTCTTGCTTTTAGATACGAAAGAGAATTCAGAAGTGGACATCTTCTTGGGATGCCTAAAAAAATGGCTTTGTTGAATTTGTTTATGGGAGTGATGTACGTTTGTGCTTGCTTCATGGCTGATAAATCAACTTTACCGAATCTCCTCCTATAAGTATGTTCATTTGGAAAGATACCATTCACAGTAAACAATAAGAAAAGAAACTATCAAGAGAAAATTAGTCTTGAGTGCTTTGAATGTGACCAGCGGGGCACATATTCCAAGTGTTTTAATGCACATGGCTCAAGCAGACCAGATTAACACTCACATTTGCACTTGGAACAGAGTTGTCTATAAATGTATAAACATTCAGACGTTGAAAGATAACTGGTTTGCCCACCCTTCAACCACCTACAGTACAGTGATCTGAAACACTCACTCAACATATTTATGAAGGGGGTATTGGCGATAAATAAACCTGGACTGCAAAAAGCTGTGATGAAACTTTTCCTGAACATGTGGAAGTTGCAGTGAATCTTGGGATGAACTTCTTTGTATGATCTGAATCCATATTTCATATCATCAACCCACTGGAAAAGAATGCAAGTGGTGGCAGTATATTGAACACTTCGGATGGTCTCCACTTGATTACGATCTCAAGTGTCCATGATCATCCAAGTTGTACGCATGTTACTATCGTGACTCTGGTAACTGTACTGTTTACAACTTATCATCATTCATTATGTGTCACTTTGTTTTATGGATATGCCTTGGATTGAATTTGAATATTGAAGTTTTACACTGTTAGCATGGCTTGTGATATATTTGAGTTTGACTAAGTCAGTGAATATTGGTAATGTCAGTAATGTGTAGGGACAAAAATACAAAAACTGTTGTTTATGGTTATTTCCTTTTGCATTTTTAATAGATTGAACGCTGTTATGTGTACACATCATGATGTTACCAACACATGTTTTGGGGACTAATATGAATAATATATGTTGCCATCATGCCCTTTCTTTTGTTTTGTTTGTTTAGCGGTACTCAAAGCAATATTCCAGCCGTATGATGGTAGTCTGTAAATAATCGAGTCTGGACCAGACAGTCCAGTGATTGTCATCATGAGCATCGATCCACACAATTGGGATATGATCACATGGATCATTACCTTTTTGCTGCAAATGTCAAGGATCTGGATTTGATTCCTCATATTTTGGTATCATGGTAGTTACAGCATCCAGGTTCGATTCCCTACATGGGTACAATGTGTAAAGCCAAAATGATTTCTGGTGTCATATGGCTGGAATATTGCTAAGAGCAGAACTTACCCATGGTAACTTAGTTCCCTGAGAATCTGAAGAATGTCCACCTGCTTCCAGTATGTGCATGACAAGTACCAGTAGTATTTGTATGGAATGAATATCCTTCTCTAGCTTACAATGACTTTGCTGATTTGAGATTTACATAATGATTCAATTTAGAGCAATTAAGAAACTCATTCAAGTATAACAGAAATTTAGATGATGATATGCACATTATGCAGCTGATATCATAATGACTGTGATTCTGAACAAAAACATAGAATAAGAATGCAAATCGATTACAATTGTGTGGATTTTGAACATGTTGAAGAGAAAGGCCCTGAGTGCTCCTTTCTTCAGTATTGCTCAGTAAAATGATATGAAACTGAAAGTAGATATTTCTCGCTAATTGTGGTTAGGTGGTGAAAACTGCTGCTGTCGTCCTTTGATGGGAGCCCACCAGAGTAGGTGCAGTTTCAGTCATCCAGACATCTGTGTGCTGGAAATTCTACACATAGGCAGACTTTTCCTGGGGGTTGCCCAAGAAGTGATATGAACCTTATGATAAACAGTGACTAGTGGTGACTGCAGCAACCCCAGGCATGTATTGTGTGGATAGTTGTACAGCAATTTCTAAATCATTTTCAGGAAAATTTAGTGTTTCTGTTTTGTTGATTATTAATTTATTCATGTTAAGCTTACAAGACCAAAGAACATTTTACTAGACTCAGGCTACGTTTACATACTTCCGTAACCATGGCAACATAGCTGATCTTAGCCATCTACAAGATTAACATGACAAGGAAACACTTGCTCACTCTTAATATGTTGTATGCTTGTTGCTGAGGATGCTAAACACAATGCATGCTAGTCATGTTCTTAATGAACATGTTAAATGACACAAGTTTAATTGAATGGTTTTGAACATAATAGACTTAAAACAACAGTTTGTAGTTTGAAAAGGGTTGTTTTCAGCAGAAGCATGGGGATGTGAAACAGCATGTCATGGCTACAGTCATGTGACAACACTAGGTATCAAGTACCGTCCTCATCACAGGAACACGTACAGGGTTTCACCCTGACCTACAGAACTAGGGATCTAGAGGACCCCAATTACTAAATTCAATGGTCCTTTCAGGATATATGAGGGTCCTGTAAGTTAGTGAAACGGTGTATTGTACTGTAAGATCTAATAATAATCACTTGAACTTTACATGAAAATTATTGTTCGTCCCTTGGGACACAATATATATTTTTTCTGCATCCATTCTATACATTTGTGCGTACTGGAAGCGCATTTCTGTGTTTCGTAAAACACGGACTACATACTGGATTCTGGAATTCGTAACACAAGAAACTTGTTGGCCTCCTTACCTTGCTAACTAATAAGGGCACTTTATTTGATGTTTCTACTCACCATGATAACTAAACCATGTCAGAAACAACAAGGCAGTAACTCTTATGTAATCATTCATGGCTCCGGGAAGATTATTTGTCTCTGTCATTGCCATTGATTACTATTTGAAATACAAAGTTATGTTAACTTATTAAAGTGGTTGTTTAACAACAGTTTTCAATGAGGTCATATTCAAAACATCAGCAATATAGGGGATGTTTCAATGTACTGATAATCTTTCAAGTAATACCACCGTGTGAACATAACGAACAGTGTTTGAAACCAACCCCGCATGAGGGCCATTATAATGATGAATATTCATGATGTTGAGGAGTCCATTCAGAATTTATTTGCTCTTCCAAACATTTTCCCATTTTCTTGTGTATATGGAGGACATATTTTTGAATATAATTCACCCAATCGATTCTGATGAGCAAATATGTAACTTGTGGGCTATTTTTTGTTGTGGTGCTGTCATTTTAATCATGATAATAAACATAAATGGGATAATGTGCACATGGACATGCAATGATGGACCACTGATGTGATGTTGAGGTCCTGCTGTTGAAGTGGAGCCCCCTCCCCCCTCTGTATTGGGTGTGTTGCATGCTGAGAGTGACTATGTAAAGTACCAATAGGATGTGAATGTTGTACTTCGGTATTGTGTATGTTTCCATCCTGTGCAGTGACATGATATAGTGCCAATGTAAGTTATTCTGTCAAATAAAATCTGAAGAACTTAAATTTATTGTTGTTGTCAAATTGGTGACCTAGCATTTTGTTACATGCCTAACATCCAGCATGTCAACTTAAACATTTTGCAGAAAATCATTGAGTTGTGGATAATCTTCAAGAATCTTCTTATCAGACACCAAGGATCGAAACATTTTTTTTCAAGCTGGCAAGCACAAGCCATGCTTGTCGAAAGAGGCGACTAACGGGATCGAGTGGTCAGGCTGGTGACTCAATTAATGAATGTCATCGTATCTCTACTGCGTAGATAGATGCTTGGATGTCAGTCACTGGATTGTCTAGTCCAGATTCAATTTGCAGACTGCTGTCATGTAGCTGGAATATTGCTGGGTACGTCGTTAGTCAACAAACAACAATGACAAGCTACACAGGAGCATGTCCATTGGCGACATGCTGTTTGCAGTTCCTTCTTTAAGGTGTCCAGAAATTAAATCCTAACTAAAGTTACAACAATAACAAAACTTCTGAAAAAGAGGTTTATTGCCAAGCAAAAGGGCACCTGATATGAAAGCACTGGTCATGTACAAATTTAAGCTTTCAGCAGTGATGAGGATTTGTACATATAAAATCCCATCAAATAATGTTGATATTTTCACAACTGGCACAGGTATGAGTTGAAATAACAATCTTGTCAGATTATATGAGGAGATAGACATATTATAGGAAAAGAAAAGCATGTATTTATCTTGTATTTTCTTACTGACCTTAATACTGATTTATAGCATAACCATGACATGAAAGTGATAGTTCACTTGGTGAAAATATTGATTTTTTTTTTTCAAATCAATATCTAACTACTAAAACAATTATTATTAATCCAAATAAATATTTCAACACAAATATATAAAATTTCTAATTCTCATGAATTTTACTGTTTCTTTATATAGCACCAACGATAGGACTCTTGAAAAACTAATTAGGTACGTCATGGCCTTTATTGCTACTAAATCAGGACTAATTTGACAGCTTCAAACTACAAAGCACTGAGATGGTGTTTTACATGAAGGTGAGCTGAGATTGTAGTGCAGGGTGAGCTGAGATTGTGGTGCAGGGTAAGCTGAGATTGTAGTGCAGGGTGAGCTGAGATTGTGGTGCAGGGTGAGCTGAGATTGTAGCGCAGGGTAAGCTGAGATTGTAGTGCAGGGTGAGCTGAGATTGTAGTGCAGGGTGAGCTGAGATTGTAGTGCAGGGTGAGCTGAGATTGTAGTGCAGGGTGAGCTGAAATTGTAGTGCAGGGTGAGCTGAGATTGTAGTGCAGGGTAAGCTGAGATTGTAGTGCAGGGTGAGCTGAGATTGTAGTGCAGGGTGAGCTGAGATTGTAGTGCAGGGTGAGCTGAGATTGTAGTGCAGGGTAAGCTGAGATTGTAGTGCAGGGTGAGCTGAGATTGTAGTGCAGGGTGAGCTGAAATTGTAGTGCAGGGTGAGCTGAGATTGTAGTGCAGGGTGAGGTGAGCTGAGATTGTAGTGCAGGGTGAGGTGAGCTGAGATTGTAGTGCAGGGTGAGGTGAGCTGAGATTGTAGTGCAGGGTGAGCTGAGATTGTAGTGCAGGGTGAGCTGAGATTGTAGTGCAGGGTAAGCTAAGATTGTAGTGCAGGGTGAGCTGAGATTGTAGTGCAGGGTGAGCTGAGATTGTAGTGCAGGGTGAGCTGAGATTGTAGTGCAGGGTGAGCTGAGCTGAGATTGTAGTGCAGGGTGAGGTGAGCTGAGATTGTAGTGCAGGGTGAGCTGAGATTGTAGTGCAGGGTGAGCTGAGATTGTAGTGCAGGGTGAGGTGAGCTGAGATTGTTGTGCAGGGTGAGGTGAGCTGAGATTGTAGTGCAGGGTGAGCTGAGATTGTGGTGCAGGGTAAGCTGAGATTGTGGTGCAGGGTGAGCTGAGATTGTAGTGCAGGGTGAGCTGAGATTGTAGTGCAGGGTGAGCTGAGATTGTAGTGCAGGGTGAGCTGAGATTGTAGTGCAGGGTGAGCTGACACTGCAAAGCAGCTCCTGAGAGTGAGTGAGTGTACACCACTAAGGGCTGGGACAGGTACTTGGGTACTCGGGTTGGGTGGGTACCATCGGGTGCCTACAGGACTACCCGGGCCCATGCTTTTACATTGATTTATAACAAAAATTCACAATAACTCCATGGTGACATTACAAGGCACTAATGTTCACATTACTTTCTGACTATGCACACATTTCTTTTATCTTTTATATGTCTGATTGGTGATAAAGCATATGCATGACTAGATTGTTTTATATGTGTATCCAGATACTTTATGCCAGGCCTCAGACACAACAAATACCAGTTGGACATTTTGTACCCAACTCTTGAGACCTTGAGCTGGTTCCTGGGTGGGGTCAGGTAATAGGGGGTGGGGTCACTGGGTATTAATTTGGACTCGTCCCAGCCCTATCACCACTTACCCCTTTCAAGCAATATTCTAGCAGTACCTTATGATGGCTCTTCACATTCTGCAGAAAAAAGGGAATCACAAATTCCATGTATAAATCTTCATGTGACTAGATGATGGTATCATGCAATATTCAATTTTCATTAACAAATTGACAAAATCTAATGTATAACATTGATTCTTTGAACATATACTCTCAATATATATTCCGACATATCCAGTCAGAGATGAACAACTGATGCATCGACACATATCATATATCAACAGAAAATTTAACTGACCAATATCCAAAAACAATTTCTGTTGGAATTTCAATGTCTATTGTGTTTCGATAAGAGTTATGTCTCTTTGACTTATGTGAGTGAGTTGGGAGTAACGCCGCTTTGAACAGTATTCCATTTATATCACGGTGTGTCAGTTTAATGTTTGAGGAAAACCTGAAGTGATGCAGGTCTCAGACATTTACCACTTTAGTGAAACCACGAGCATTGGTATGGTGCTGACAAGCCTAGAAACATAATTGGGATTCTGACTATGTTTGTCGTAAGAGGCGACTAACGGGATCAGGTGGTCAGACTTGCTGACTTGGTTGATGCATATAATCGATCCCAATTGCTGGATCAATGCTCACGATGTCAATCACTGGATTGTCTGGTCCAGACTTGATTATTGAGAGACCACCGCCACTCCACACCCTGCTCTCTGTGACCCACATGTTCCCTATGCTATACCCTTGCTTGTGGCCACTCCACACCCTGCTCTCTGTGACCCACATGTACCCTATGCTATACCCTTGCTTGTGGCCACTCCACACCCTGCTTTCTGTGACCCACATGTACCCTATGCTATACCCCTTGCTTGTGGCCACTCCACACCCTGCTCTCTGTGACCCACATGTACCCTATGCTATACCCTTGCTTGTGGCCACTCCACACCCTGCTTTCTGTGACCCACATGTTCCCTATGCTATACCCTTGCTTGTGGCCACTCCACACCCTGCTCTCTGTGACCCACATGTACCCTATGCTATACCCTTGCTTGTGGCCACTCCACACCCTGCTCTCTGTGACCCACGTGTACCCTATGCTATACCCTTGCTTGTGGCCACTCCACACCCTGCTCTCTGTGACCCACATGTACCCTATGCTATACCCTTGCTTGTGGCCACTCCACACCCTGCTTTCTGTGACCCACATGTACCCTATACTATACCCTTGCTTGTGGCCACTCCACACCCTGCTCTCTGTGACCCTCATGTACCCTATACTATACCCTTGCTTGTGGCCACTCCACACCCTGCTTTCTGTGACCCACATGTTCCCTATGCTATACCCTTGCTTGTGGCCACTCCACACCCTGCTCTCTGTGACCCACATGTACCCTATGCTATACCCTTGCTTGTGGCCACTCCACACCCTGCTCTCTGTGACCCACATGTTCCCTATGCTATACCCTTGCTTGTGGCCACTCCACACCCTGCTCTCTGTGACCCACATGTACCCTATGCTATACCCTTGCTTGTGGCCACTCCACACCCTGCTCTCTGTGACCCACATGTACCCTATGCTATACCCCTGCTTGTGGCCACTCCACACCCTGCTCTCTGTGACCCACATGTACCCTATGCTATACCCCTGCTTGTGGCCACTCCACACCCTGCTCTCTGTGACCCACATGTTCCCTATGCTATACCCTTGCTTGTGGCCACTCCACACCCTGCTCTCTGTGACCCACATGTACCCTATGCTATACCCTTGCTTGTGGCCACTCCACACCCTGCTCTCTGTGACCCACATGTACCCTATGCTATACCCCTGCTTGTGGCCACTCCACACCCTGCTCTCTGTGACCCACATGTTCCCTATGCTATACCCTTGCTTGTGGCCACTCCACACCCTGCTCTCTGTGACCCACATGTACCCTATGCTATACCCTTGCTTGTGGCCACTCCACACCCTGCTTTCTGTGACCCACATGTTCCCTATATGCTTGTGGAGAATACACAACACACCACCTGTATCCCTTCAATCAACCAATCAATCATTTTTGGCTGAAAAGCTATTGACTTGTATACAACTCATTTCAATCCCGATTACAATATTCCATAGAGGGCATCACTTCTTACAAGGGACAGTCGAGATGTCTTCACCCTACACTTGACAATGGTTTATGTGTTATACAACATGTGAATACAACATGTATCTCGCTAGGCCAAATTTGCCTCTGAAACAATATACACAATATCCTCATATAAGAACACTCATATTAAGGTTCTTGTGGTTTTACAATTCGAGCCGAAATGTACAATCATAAAATAAAATAAAAGTTTTAAATTTATTTTTATTTGCCCCACCAATCCATCTTTGATTTGTGAAATAATAATTTACAACTACAAACATAAAGTGAAATTATGTCACTATGAACTTTATATCATATATATTACTGTAAACTGTTTAAACATTCTGCATTTCACACAGTATTAACATTTACTGTTTTATACAAAACAGATTGACCCAAACAACCAAACATTTTTATAACATATAATATATTGTCATTTCCACCCAAACCAAAATCTGTCAACCCTAAAAAATAGAG